CTCTTGCCGAGTCAATCCGGAAAGCTCCAATAGCAATTCCACGCGCATCGGCTCGGAAAGCTCGATGCTGGCGTCGAGGGTTTTGAGCAGTTTCCACCAGCGTCGTCGCCGGCTGACGTACGACAGCATCGACTCGCCGCCTTGGCGTGCGAGGACACCTTGCTTCTGGCCTGCACGGAAGAGCTCTCGAGCTTCTTCGGTGGCACGGGGGAAGACGACATTCCTCAACTTGGTGATGAAATCCCGGAGGCCACCGGGGGCAGTCAGGGATTCGATACCGATATCCCGGGCGAGTTCGAAGGCTTCGTCCCGAAGTCCTTCCAGTACTTTATGCACCATTTCGGTTCTTGCTTTAACCGCATAGGATGACATTTCGTCGGCAACCAGCAGTTCTGAGACCGAGTCGGATGACTTCGGTGCAGATGGTCTCTTGCGAGATCCACCATCAGAGGCTGCTGCTGCTGCCTCGGTTGCATCCATGTCGGGCCTGTCCTCGGGAGGTACAGGGGCAGTGGCTCCCGCAGTCGGACTCGGCTCCACGACGCGGCTCTCATCATCACTGCCTTCTTCTTCTGGCTCCACGGTCTTCTTAGGTTTGCTCCTGACAGCATCTTCGTACAGTTTAAGCCTCATAGAGGTCCTAAACTCCCAGTCGTGGAACGTACTGGGGGTGCCATCATATATGTAGCTCCCGCTACGAGTCTCAAGGGGAGTACTCGAGTACGTGGAGCGACTGTACCGAAGACCGGCCACAGACATGCTTGGCGAAAGTTCGAAGGGAAAGAATTGAGAGGGAGGTATGCAATGGTAGGTATTGAGCACAGTACCTGGCTCCGCTGCCAGTTTGAGAACTGGTGGATCTTTTCGCCGACTGCGAAGCTATCTCGGTATGACTCAAGGGCCCTAACGGCAGCGGGATATAATACAGTTACAACATGCATGTCATGGCCATGGCTCCCTGTACATGTACAACAGAGGGTGCATTCACAACAACACTTGGATTTGTGACCCTGCAGCTGAGCAGGGTCTCTCCTCGTTGATAAGGCCTGTGCCAGACTTGTCGATGGCACGGAATACGCCCTCGAGCTTCGCAATATCTTCGTTCCGCTTCTTCAGGCGGGTTACGACCATGTGTTCGGCATCGTTTTGAACCACGTCTAAGGTGTCCTGCAGGGCTCGAGGCTGGAAGATTCTTGATCTGCTCGGCAATACTTAACAGTTAACAGCTCTCTCTCTGTATTCATCTCGCCTTCAAAAAAATCGCAGATATAACACGGATCAGTGCGAAAACTATAATTGTGATGTACACAAGGAAGAACAGCGCGAAGATGTTGTCCGCCTGCAGAACAGATGCGATCAAATTCCTTGAATTGAAGTCTCATGGTGGCTCGGTCACCCTGTCATGGAATGGTAGACACTGACTGGCTTGTGCCACTTTTCGGGGGATGGTGGCAAGAAGGTGATGACGTCTTTTGCCAAGTGAGTCGGGGGATGCAAGGGCAAATAGATCATAGCCCTGAACTTTCACCATGTTGTACAAGCCAAGCAGCTTTCTCCATGACCGGGCGTGCATTCGTGGGCCAATTCCCTGCACCAGCGCTTTAACAAAGCAATCTGCTGGCTGGCCCTAGGCTGTTCCCCACCGCAGTGCAACGCCTGCGCAAACAGAATCCCCAACTAACTCTCAACTGTCCGCTCCTGCAAAGGTCACTTCATAAAGTGTCCATGATGACCTCTGCGAGGTACCTTTGCGGCTGTGGCCAACTAGCGCAACAGAACAAGGCATCTCTCCGAGCCCATGGCCTTTATCAGATTAGCGCTTGGTGCCCCTCATCTTCAGGAGTTTACTCTTCGTTCGCTGTCCCTTCCTAGCGGTCCTATGCCCTAGCTGCCCTACCTGCCCTAGCTCTCTTGCATGAAACGGTGCCATAGTGATCCCACAGCCACTGCCGGTCTTCGTGCTCCAGCCGCTCGTCCAGAATGTATACTTGCAACGTGTTCCCCAACGTCAACGCTCCCATGGCCATGAAGACAGCGAGCAGGACCATGGACCAGAAGAGCGACGGAAGGAAACAGCGACAGGCTTTGACGAGCACTCGGAGCCCTCGCACGAAGCGGAAGCTCCGCAGGATGCGCACAGCACGAAGGGATTTAAGAGCTCGGGTCAGCTTCAGCAGGGCGATGTCCTGTGAGTCCACACGGCCCGGCCCTGTCCCTGTTTCCGTCCCTCAGCAAAAAAAATAGAGCTGTCCTCGTCCCGCACGGTACCTCCAGTGAAAGGCCTGCTGATGATCATGTCAACCACGCCGAGCAGCACCAAGACACCATCGAAGATATTGGCTAGGTCCTTCAGGGCGACATGCCTATTGTCACTCGGCGCACCATGCGACACTTGCATGGCGATATCCTGTGTTGTTCATGACATTGTGTTCATGCATTATGATTGCACTTTCCTTTCGATCCTGAAAGAGTTTAAGCTCGCATCCTGCTACAATGGCCCGAGTGGCAAAGACACAACCTGTTCTTGACGGTTAGGTGCGGTAAGAGACCTACGAGCCATCTGGGTTTGCACGAGGCACATGGCCCGGCCCATGCCCAACTCCGGTCCAGGCAGAACTTTAGTCGCTCGAAGAGCAGCCGAAAAACCAACTCCACCAGAAACAGAAGAACGAAGACAGCATCGATTCCACGCAAGGCAGGGAGGTAGGCTCTCAAATCCTCGCCAGCGGGCAAGTCAATCTCAAAGGCAATGGATCGACCTTCGACTTCCAGCTCTGCGATTAAAACCAAGGAATTGAGGAGGACCATTACTCCGGCAACATAGTCAATGTATCGCTTCACCAGTTGGATGAGGTTGGCACGGAAAGAGAGAGGCTGCATTGCATCTTGCAACAAATTCTGCACATCATGGGTCACCTGCGATTTCCGCCGTGGCCGGCTGGCGGTTGAGGAAGCGTTCGCCGAAAGTGTCTGTACCATTGGGTCCTCATCGACGACGCTGATGTCCCAAGTATTGTCATCGCCAGCATTGCCATCTTCCGGCAAGGAAGGCGGAGGAGGAGGAGGAGCAGGATCAACAGTTTCCGAAACGTCAGGCTGCACTGTTCGAAGGCCTTTGCCAACGTTCAGCCCGATCTCCAAAGGCGAAGGGGCCGGGGCAGGAACTGAGCTGGGATGGAGTAGTCTGAGGGCATGTCCAGATGTTGCGGGAAGTCTTCCTCGGCAGTTGCACTCCCTCTCAGATGCGAGGACTACGCTCTTGTTTTGGCACTCGCACTCGACGCATCAGGTTTGGGGTGAACCTATTTGTGTGGGTTTCAAGCTCCAAGCACCTTAGCTCGTCTATTTGTTTCTGCCAGCGTACTGCTTCCGTGGCAACCCAGCATCTGAAAGAGCATGCCTAATCCTCACACATCCACCACGAACCAAATCAGCCGGGAGCTCCGCAAATCAACGCAAGATGCAAGCTAGAACATGATTAACACCAAAAAGCTCCGAAAGCTTCTGTCGACGGTCTGTTTCTGTTTTTTGCGCCCGGTGTGTTTCCCTGACTCAGGGCCAGACCCATATAAGAGTCCATTCTCTCCCAGGCAGACTCCAGGGCACTGCGCCAGGATTGATGTTCCTTCAACTGAATGCACACCCTTTCGACTCGGAGATGCTCCTGCTGCCTCTACTCCGCCACTCCTACTCCTACTTCCAATAGCTCCTACTCCTACACCCGCTACTCCTACCTCTTACTTCCACCCCTCTCACTCCTCCCACCCCCTCCGGCCCCCTCCCACTCCTCCCGCTCCACTCCTCCCACTCCTCCCACTGCTCCCACTGCTCCCACTGCTCCCACTCTGTCACTCGTCCCGCTCCTCCCGCTGCTTCGACTCTCCTACTTCCCCACTCCTCCCACTGCCACTATTCACACTCCTCCTCCTCGTCCTCCTCCTCCACCTCCTTCTCCTTCTCCTCCTACTACTACTATTGCTACTGCTACTGCCACTGCCACTGCGACTGCGAGTGCTACTGCGCTCCTGCTCCCTGCTCCTGCTGTTATTGCTGTTGCTGCCGCCACTGCTGCTATTATTGCTGCAACACTACTAGTACTAGGAATACTGGGAGTACTAGTACATCTAGTAGCAACACTAGTAACACTCGTGATACTCGCAGTACAAACAATACGACGACGACGACGACGACGACGACGACTGCTGCTCCTGCTGCTGCTGCTACTGCGAAGTCTACACCTACCAGTACTGATACTGCTTCTACTAAGTCGCATCTGCTACTGCGGCTGCTATCATCAAGTATCAAGGGCTACCCTGAGCATAGCGACTCAAGACCGCCAGTGCTGAGTCCTCCTCTGCGCGCAGTAGCAGCAGGCGCTGCTCTTCTGAAAAAGCATGAAGGAAGTCCTGACGCGGCATCGTGAGACTCATGGGACTAGCTACCACTGTATCAATGTGACGATAACAATGATCTACGAGTTTCGGCTGCTAGTGCCAGAGCCACAAACTGTGCCAAACAAGAACTGACGGAAGTACCGCTTGTGATGAAGGTACAGATGTAGACAATAAGACTAAGTGAGTCCAAGGGAGCATGTGGTGCATGTCTGGGGGAACTTCGGATGCGAGCGACGCTCGTCAAGACAGTGTGCTGTGTGCTGTGGACCTGTGGACATGCCACATCGTCCATCGTCCTGAAAGGGAGCGACGGCCGCCATCGCTTCATAGGAACCCATTTTGAAACCCTACTTTCAGATGTGATGCGACTACATGGCTGAACGTATCTTCAGGATTTCAGAAAATGTGCCTGACATCGCAAAGCGATTCGGCCCTGTCTGAGCTTGAAATCGCAGCTCGAAGCACTTCAAGCCAAAGGCCGCTCTCCCCCAAGTGATCTCGGAGCTAAAAACTTCTTGGAGTCTTACTTGTCTTGGATAGCACAGGAAGGCAAAATAAGACAAAGGTACATCTTGCGAGAGGTTCCACAGCGACTGAGCCTCCGGCTCGTTTGATCTTGCCACAGTCCGGGTGCGCTCGCAAAGCTCTGTGCAGGTTGGCTCTGACCACCTCGGAAGGAGGCATAGATAGCCCACGCTGAGCTCTGCAAAATCAAGGATGAAGCGGACCCCCCCCCCCAAAAAAAAAAAACACAAGAAACTGAAATGCTGTTGCCAGTTCTGCACATTCTCCCTGCATGAGAATTACTGTCGGACTTGCCAGAGGAATCGCGGCAAGCAGCCAGCGCCGGGGAAGGCAAGAACTGGCGAGTAGGTATACTCACCCAGAACAGGCACTTCCTCCTTTGCAGGCTCCAGGAGCAAGCGCGCCAGTCTCTTCTTCTGCCCACCGGGGGGGGGGGTGGCTCCATCCCGGACCGCTCCGTTTCAATGAGAGACCAAGGCCAGTGCGCACTCCACTCGGTCAGAACGCAGTCCACCGGTGAGCACCTGTGGTGCAAAGATGTGCAAAGTGCAGGGCTTAACTGTGCAGCAGCACCTTCTCGAGACAGGCAGTGCAGCATGACTAGCTGCTGCAGCTGCAGCAGCAGCTAGATTAGCTAGTTTCTAGATGCAGCAATGACAGCCGTCTGGTCGTCAGGTCTACGCGGCTCCAGTGGCTCAAGGCCAAGGCTCCACTCGGCACTTCGTACCTCAAGGGCCGAAGTGATCATAGTCACAGCACTCAGCTGGCGATGTTCCAACCCCCGAGCTAGGACTAGGGACTGCTGTCGCATGTCGACTGGTAGAACTGCTCACCAGAGCAGGGCCTCTCAGCATCTTTCGACTTTCCACTCGCTCTGTTGAGAGAGTTTGAGAGTCTCAGGGTGCGGCATGGACTCGTCGCCTTTAGCCAGTGGCCTGTTTTCTAAAGAAAGGCACATCCACCTCAGTCGGGTCGCACTGATTGTGTGACCGTCGGTCTCCGAGGCTGGGGTTCAAACTTGTCGGCTCCATCTGAGCCGGCACTTGCAATCGGTCCTGCTCCAGAAGTCGGCATTGCCGCAGGTTCTGCAAAGTCTCCATGCTCGAGTGCTGCTCCTCGACCTGTGCCCGCGATGCAGGGAGTGTCCAGCCATCCGCCTGCGAAGTCAGTCTCGTTCTGAGGTCCCAAGGCCCGACTCAAGACTCAAGGCCTGGCACGTCCTGCTTCCAGATCTCAATGTTCGGATCCACGAGGACGAAGCAACGGCGAGCTGGGCACAGAGCAGTTCCCGCATGCAGATGGCATGGACGCTCCGCTAAGCGTCGCCGTTTCATATACAGATCACATGCAATCCCATGCCACTTGGAACGCGTTAGTTTCGTTTGCGACTCATGCGATCGGCATGCAGCCTTGATTGCATCACCTCCGGTCTTTCGTTCTAAAGCCTGCAGATGATGGAAACCGGCCTCTGAATCGATCCGAAGCGAACAAAACTGTACCCATGGCCTCCGAACTTCACGACACGGCTGTCGTCGAACATGGCCTCAACACCGCTTGGCGCTCTTCGAGTGGCAGAAGCGGAGCCCATGACTTCATGGCCCAGAGCAATACATCTCAGCTCTCTGCGCCCTGGACTCCATTCACATCTCGGGGCGAAGGTACGCACACAGACACAGAATACGAGGCGACAGCGCTAAGCTCTCTGGCCTTGTAAAGTGTGGAGCACATTTCGGCACTCCTCCTCAGAAATCGCCTGAACCGGGCACCCGCCTCGGACTGGGACACTAGTGAACTAGTGGTCGGACCGTCGGACCCTTCAATGCTTCAGAACAAGATAGCCGGGTACCCATGAAAGGCATGTCATGTCGAAACGCCGCTCTGAGCTCCTGTCTGTAGCTCTCGCCCCGGGCATCTCGGCCTCAGACGCCACGCACCGGCGCGGTCCGAATAACGACCTGTGATCTGGAGAACCTTGCGCGTAGGCGTAGCTCTTGTGCCAAGATAACTATACCGATTCCAGAGCAACAATCGAAGTAAGAAAGGGTTGGGTTTCCGCGGGGCCTGCTCACAACGGCGTGAGCTGCTAGGCCAGCAGTAATAGCAACTCACCGTGCCGCCTAGCACCACATTGAAGGCCTTCTCCTCCCCTGCAATAGACCCTACTTCCGCATCGCATTCCATCGGCCAGCAAGCGACACTGCATGACACCGCAGTGCCTTGTGTTACCACTCTTGCGCCACTTGACGTTTTCTCAAGGCCGTGATTCTCTGATGCTGCTACACAATGTGATCATGTACGTGTCGACAAAAATGCGAGGATATGCATCCAGAAGCTGAGGCCACGCACAGAGCCCTCCACGATCACCGATGCGAGCGACCTATCAGGGAGCATCAGCAGCACACCCCAACACCTTTGTAAACTTCCTTAGTTCGTTGCGCCTCGAACTGGGGTTCTGTCGTGGTGAGGACCAGGTGTCGTTGCAGAAGCCTGTCGGTCGTCGTGGTGCTCAGGGGGCACGGCCAAGAACGGAAATCGCCTTGTGGACGGCCCGCACTGCGCAGAACAGCCTCCCATTTCCTGGCCAATGCTTCGCCGAATCGTCTGCACAAGCCCGTTTCGCATTCGATCTGTCACATTCCCTTTCATGCCAGCCTGCCAAGTGCTCCAGGTACAATAATGCTCCAGGCATGCACTTTTACAGTAGCCTCAGGTCCAATTCAGACCAGAGCGCAGAATCTGGCTTTCGGGTTTCACGAGCCGCGCACCCACTTCTTTTGCAGCCTGTGGGACAGGTGACATAACACGTCGAACAGACTCAAAATCTTCAGCGGTGCCTGGGCATCGCATTTCCGGCCGCAATGGTTCGCTTGCCTCATGACCCCACGGTGTCGATACCTGCGCGGTGGTGCTGAGCTCAGCTCGATTGCAAGACCACTCTATAGCTCAGGGTGCCTCTGGTGCCCGCAGTGCGAACAGTCGCTCCACATGGACCACTCGCCTTTGCAGCATGCTCTCTGCCCGACGACAGGCACGCATGGATCACGAAAGAGCCATGCGAAGAGAATCTGAGCAGCAAACTCCAAAGGCAGTCAATGCAAGTCATATGGCAAGCCTGCAATTAACCCTGATCGATTCTTTTTCGCGTGAGATGTAGAAAGCGCTAGGCATTCGGTCTAGGCTCACGCGGCCCGTTTCAGGTGTCCTGCCTGCGTGTTGCAGGGCTCCACCTGTCAGAGTCCCAGGTCTGCAGCTCTCATCTCGCAGAGTCCCAGGAGTCCCAGGTCTCGGAACTAGCCTCCTCCGTTTCATCGTCACACGGTGGCCCGTTGTCCTGCAAAGGCGCATCGCTTAGTATCTTCGAGTCAGAGCAAGAGCCACTAACTTAAATGGGCTTCGGACGGCTGCTGGAATCAGGATGGACCGCGATCGCCTTGAATTGAAAGGTCACGTGGACGTCAAAGCATGTGATGCCGAGAGCACCCGAGAGCCAGACTTTCGCTCGCCTGAACCACAGCTGTGTGAGCAAATCTGCCATTCCTGGCCACCGACTCACTACCGAAATTTCTCAAGAGATGCTACAAGGCAAAAGGATCTTGCGACACGGATCTCTACTCAACGCCATGCAAAGTGAGCAACTTGTTTGAGGCGCCTCCCAGTCTCCAATCTGGCATCTCCTCTGACAAACGCGGCATGCAGTCGTCCGTGCACAAATGCCATCTCACCCAGCTTTCCTGGCTGGGTCGGGCCGGCAGTCGGCTGGCACCGCCTGGACCACGCCAGGAGCCGGGTACTCCATGACAGGAGCTCAGCTAGATAATAACCCGAAGTCTCTGCCGGCACCTCCCCGGGGCCCGGAGCACATGGCCTCTCCACGACAGCGCGCGATACTCCGCAAGCCGCATCAAGCCGCAAGCTCCAGCCCTGGCCCTGGTTCACTGCATTTCACTGCCCTCACTGCAGACGAGAGACCGCTTTGTGAAACGCGGTGCTCGTGCACCGGGAACATTACCACGATGTCTTCTTCAGCCGCTGTGTGATCGACTTCCCAGAACTTGAACTTAAACCCTCGAGCTTCACACGTGATTGTGCTATGCTGGACCCGTAAAGTATCAGCCAGCAGCATGGGAATGGGTGCCACGTGTTGTGGACCACTGAAGAAACATTGACCATCCTCAACCCTCTGCAGCAAATCAGTCACCAAGCGCAATTCAAAAACAATTTCCATCAGGACACGGCAGAGAGCAGCGGCTGAGACAGAGACAGCTCAGTACCTTTGTTTGGGACATCGTCCGCATCTGGCGTGTCGTCCGATCTTGCCGGCGATTGCGGCTCGGGCGGAACCGGAATTGCCAGGGCGAGGGAGGGTTGTGACGCTTGGGAGTGAGTGGGATCGCTTTGAGGCGGCTTCGCCTTTGCAAGTTCAGGCACCGCCTGCGCTGCCTGCGACTCTGCAGGCCTCGATGCCGGTGCTGGCAACCCGGGCTTCGGTTTGGAGGCTTCCCTTGCAGCCTCAAGCATGCCCGGCGGCAGCACCTCTGTGGTGATAATCCACCTTGCCCACTGTCGAAAAGAGAAGGTCAATGGCCTCTTGGCAGGCCCGCAAAAGCCTCCACCGCCTGGTTTCTTCTTCGGCTTGGCTTTTGCCTTGGCTTTGGCCTTTGCTTTCGTCTCCGCCGCTTTGGGTGGTTCGGCTTCCTTGTCCCCCGGCTTCGGGGCCTCTTCCTGAAACCCGAAAGACCTCTCCTCCTTCGGTGGGCGGCCACACAAACCTCCTCGCTTCGCCGCCTTCTTCGGCTGCGGCATCTCCAATTTGGTACCGGTTTCTGCGAGCTTGCTGGAAGTGCTGGCTTCGTGCTCAACGCTGCCGCTGACGCTGCCTTCCTTCTGAGCTGCACCTTCCCTGTCTGCCTCATCTGCCGTGGTATCCTTGCTCTCCTCCTTCTCTCCCTCTTTCGCCTCCTGTTGCGTTTGCTCCAGCACCGGCAGCTCCTCCTCCTCCTCCTCCGAATCTTGGCTGGCGAAGTCACCCAAGGCTTGCTTGGCTATCCGCCGGATCTCTGTAAACTTGCGGCGCTCGTCGAGCTTCCGAAACTCCTTCTTCTCCCCATCAGAGAAGCTGGCACTCGACTCCTCCAAGGATAGGAAGGCATCGATGCTCCGGACCAAGTCCTCCTCGCCTACCCGATCATCACCGTCGGCATCGAAGAAACAGAACAGGAGTTCTAGCAGCTCTGCTTCGGAGCTCCATCGCAGGGCGGAAGACAGACACAGAACCTCGAAGCAGGTCAGCTGAGGCTTCGATCGAGGTTCCCCCAAGTTTCGCTGGACACGTGCCAGGTGATAGAGCCGCCGCGAGATCTTGGAGGGCAAGCGGAGGTTCAGCTGCAAGAGCTCCATGGCATTCTCCCTCAGGTAGCCACCTTCGTCTTTCACATCTCCCAGGCTCCGCCGCAGGTCCTGGCCATCTCTGGCACGGTCAAAGACCGGGTCGCTAAGATCAGCCTGCCACTGCTCCCAGGGTGCCACCTCCTCGAAGCCACGACTCTCGGAGTCGACCCCGGACGCAGCGGGACCCGCTGTGAAAGGAGGGCCAGGGCCAGGGCGGCCCAAGCCCAACAGCAGCCGGCGCCTTCGACGCAGCGCCGCAGCCCCCGGCGGCGCCTCGAAGCCAGCTTTGGCTTTGGCTCCCTTCGAGGCACCGCTGCCCATTTGCCACGGACACGCTCGCAGTGTCACGACTTCTTGACTTGCCTCCTCTGCTGTACTTAGAAGGCTGTGCTTCGCTGCATGCTCATCATGGCAGTCTCTCATGCTCTCTGCTATTCGCTGCTCTGCTATCCTGTGCTATTCCCAGTTGCTCCCTAGGTTTTATGTACATGTCTGGGGGAACGGTTGCCGTCGCATCAGTGAGAGAACTTGGCAAACTGATGCGCAAGACGTGCCCGACAAGTCTGAGGTATCAGCTCCACAGCCTTTAGCGATGTCTCCGAGCAGGGACGGCCTGGAAATCCATCGATGTCTTGGATTGTATGGCAGCCCCACCCAAACCCCGCCCCCCAACTCCACCAGGCCCCCCTACCGTTGCCAGAAGCGTACTGTTCCACCCGACGGTGGCCTCAGATTGCACGATCAGTACCTCTTGGGACTCTGGGGTTCGTGCAAGCACCGATGCTCAGGTGGCAACGCTCTCGCACACCGAAGCATTTACAACCTGGCTGTCGCAGCACTTTGTAGATTGTGTCTGCAAGTGCTTCACTCGCGACGTCACTGGCAGCTTACGGCAAACATCTTTTGCAGCACGCTCGTCACTTCTAGCACGCTCGTCTGCAGGCTGTGTAGCCAGGGGCTCATCATCGGCAGAATGCTCTGCAGCCACTTGTGCCACCATTGCTCCAAACAGCAGCATCGAATCACAGCATGGGGCATTGCACCCCCTCGTTAATGGCATCTCCATCTGCGTTCCGATAGGCATCCCGTACCGGCGTGCTTGTCCTGCCTCTTTCGCTCTGGCGAAGTCGCTACATGCCAGGGTTCAGGTTGCGCCAGGGGTTATCGACGTTTTCCACATTTCAGATATATCCGCCGTGAAGGTGACAGCATCAATTCTGGCAGGGATCACAAGTTCACATCATGCAGCAACTACCTGCTACCTGTGTGCCAGTTGCTCGGAATCAAGTCTTCGATTCTTCTGCCAGCTTCTGCATGACTGCATGGCAGTCGCCGCCATGCTCCGCAGGCCCCCACGTTACGACGGTTGCGTCCCCGCGAACAGCGGCAAAAGCATGCTGAGACGGGCATATCATCCGAACGTCATGCAACTGTTCCTTCACCTTGCTGCTGTTGCCGCCCCGATCCGCATGACCCCAGGTCACGACCCCTCCATCTGCACGGATGGCTGCGAATGCTTGCTGCGATGCACAAACCTCCTGTATATCTCTCAGTTGGCTCTGAACGGCGCTGCTGTCACCCCCACAGTCCACATCACCCCAGGTAACCACAGAGCCGCTCAGCCGAATTGCAGCAAATGCACGTGCAGAAGCGCAAACTTTGTGCACATCCACGAGCTCATCTTGGACCTGGTGGAGAAGACCAAACCACGTAGAGTGTGCTACAGAAAAAAGGGTTATTGTGCACTACACCCAGCACGCCTCCTCCACTCCTCCTGTCTTTAGGTGCCGTTAGACTACGAGCGTCTCAAGACGCCAAAATAGTGTCTAGTCTTGGCCCTTGACGACCACGACAGATCCACAAAGTGAGGGTATCCTGAAACGTCCCAAACGTCCCAGTCACCAGCAGGCCTTAGTGGGCCAGCGCAGGGGTCCCATCCTCTGTGTGTGCAACGCGACATTTCTCAGCCCACAGACAATCAACAATCGAACAGCCACAATGTAACGGCAGGTACAACACAAGCAAGTACACCCAGTCTTCCAGACTATCAAATGTGTGTGACTTACCGCTCTTTGCCGCGGGTAGTAGACGCATCTACCGCCCCCCTGCGCCAGCCCGCTAACCAAACATGCGAGCAGACTGTCGGGAGGCCACGCCTTGCTGCAGTCGCCACCGAAGTCGACGTGGCCCCAGGTGATGACGCGACCGTCTGCCCGGATCGCAGCAAAGGCCGCCAGGGATGCTTTGACGTCTTTCACTTCCCGGAGCTGATCCGACACGGTGACGGAGTCCCCGCCATGGGTCCCGTCGCCCCAGGTTACAACTCGGCCGTCCCCTCGGACAGCAGCGAAGGCATCTATGGTGGCTGCCAGGCTCCGGACATCAACGAGACGGTCCCGAACCAAAGTGCTGTCTCCGCCATAGTCACCGTAGTCTGCATTGCCCCATGTCACCACCGTCCGATCTGCCCGGATGGCTGCGAAAGCCCTCAATGAAGCACATATGGACCTCACGTCCTGCAGCTCCTGCTGAACAGCAGCACTGTCACCACCACAGCCTTTGTCTCCCCATGTAATGACGGTCCCATCTGTCCGAATAGCCGCAAAAGCTCTTTGGGAGGCGACTATGTCCTGAATGCTGTGCATTTCCTGGCTCACAAGATTTCGGGGAGCCCGCTGGCCGAAGACACAAGAAAGTGATGTGCAGAGGGTGCATAACGAGTTCAACCACGGATTGAGGTTCGTGCAAGTGTCTCTCCCTGGTCAAGAACATACTTCACTTATTTCAAAGCATCAGGTTCAAGACCACAACGCACAAACGGAGGCCTTCTTGATTTTGCTGCTGTCGCCACCACAATAGGCAGGACCCCAGGTCACGACAGTGAGGTCACCACGAAGCGCTGCAAAGGCATGCTGCGAGGCAGAAATTTCACGAACATCCAGAAGCTCTTCTTGGACATTGCTGCAGTCGCCTCCCCGATCAGAACATCCCCATGTGACAACTTGACCATCTGCGCAGATGGCCGCGAAGGCCTGCTGGGAGGCACGGATCTTTTGGACATCACGAAGCTGCCATTGGACTTGCGAGCAATCGCCGCCATAGGCAGCATCCCCCCAGGTCACCTGGAGGCAGAGTGCCAACATATCCGAATTCTCGAATCGTTTCCCGTGATTTTCCCTCTCGCCTGCCTCGCCTGCCTTGCTAAGCCAAGGTACCACTTCCCCATCGGCCGAGAGCAAAGCGAAGGCATCGCCATGTCTGGGAAGGTTCATGGACCAAGCGCCGCTGGCACTGATCAAAGATCCGTAGCAAGAGACGATCTCCACGTCTCGCACCGAGGCCGTGACCTTGTCTCCGTTCTGCAGACCAGCCTCGTTGAGCGTGCTCCGACCCCATAGCTGCTGGCCGGCTTCAGTAAACAAGTCCCGAATGCCAACTCCCAACTGCTGCTGGGCGCTGCGACGCAGATCCATCACGGTCCCTTCTCGGGACATCGAAATCGAGGCCGTCCGCCCACTGAGGAGCGTGACATCGATGCGAACACTCCGCACACCGATACTTTCTGATGCCATGTGGGTGGTTTCCAAAATTAGGCTCCCTTACTGTGCCCTGAATAATCGGTGCCGTATTTTAATAGGGACCCAAAAAGGGACCATAATTTTGACAACCACCCATGTGTCCGCGGCTCACCGCTCTTCCCTTTCCGAAAGATCAGCTGAAGGGCTGAGGGCCAGAACTCGAAGAGAGTTTTGGAATGGGCTAGAATGGGGGCGACTACAGTGCTACTGTGAGGTTTTTTCGGGAAGTACGGGGTCTAAGCAAGCGACGTTTCATTCAACGCAAGCGCGGCTGCGGGATTTCCATTCGAGGCAGCTGCTTCACTCGACCCAGCAAACACGTGAAGCCCACTGCATCCCGTCCACGCATTCCACTCAGAGATCACACAGTCCTTGGCAGTGCGATATGCGACGCGGCATTGAATGAAAGACTTGCAGCATGCCGAGTGTGCCAACCAAGCCTGGCGATATGCTTCTCGACAGCTCATGATAGCTCGGTTCCCAGCTCTGTCTGGGATGCAATTCGGCTGTCCTGTACAGACCTCGCACGACTCTGCTGCTTTACGGCTGTCTGGAAGAGCAAGACAAGTGACCCCTCCGTCGGCCTCGTACTGGTCTTCAAGGCCCAGGGCTGGTTTGCCGCAGAAGTTGGGGTGACGATCCACACTGCGATGGCGAGCCTGCGACAGGCTCAATACGAAGCTGGCGATTGCCTTCTCCCAAGGTTGAGAACTACCGCACTCAGAGCTCAACCAGCGACAGCGCTTGCACGAACTGAAAGGCCAGAGAAGTGGAAAGCACTCCCAAGTGCACCTTGTAGGAGGATGCACAGGTCGCAGAGCAGGCAGACCAGGACCCCCACTCGCTCCACCTGCGACATTTCTCTGGAGGCAAGTCATCCCTCGTGCTCCACTTCCAGAAACCCGCTGGGAGGATCAAGACCAATGTCAACATTCCGGCCGTTAAAGCAACAAACATGCGATGATGCACGAGTGTCCTGCATGCAGTACCGGTGATACACTTCCCTCCAACCTGCAGGTCGGGATTCACACTCCTGAAGCACCCTTTTTCAGCCATTTCCAGATGCCAGCGCCCGGAGCCCTGCGCCCGTTGCAGCAGGTCGCGCATCCAGTGCAGGCGCGTCTGGGCCCAATTACAAGGGGAGGGGTAGACTTAGAATTGGGCCTGGAGCTTTGGCTTAACGATTGCATGAGGCTTGGAAGGAGCCGAGCCTCCCATAAAAACTCAGGGGCAGCCCATGCTCGGTAGTCGTAGCGACCTCGCAGACTGGCAAGATCGCTTGTGGCGACGCATCCAGGCTCTTGCAGGAGAAGGGCCATATCTGAAGTTCTCGCCAAATCTCAGGAAGCCAGGGTTGCAGAATGAGCCGACCAGCCACTTGTCGTACATGCTGTACTCACCTGCACACTCGGGGAATGCCTCGACAGTGACACAAGCTCCCCCTGAATCTGCGATCGTCGCCTACATGGCCGAAGGCAGGTAAGTATTCTGCCCGCACCCAGACAGCGTCGTAGAGCTCTACCTGGCCAGGCTGTGTCAGGCTTCCACAGCTGAAGCGGCTGCACCTGACACAACCCATTTCATGCGTCGTGACAAGAGAAACGACGCCTGCAGCAACTCATACCCGAAAGGTGCAAGCACCTCGGCAATGCTAATGCCAGCCGTACTTCGGTGGCAATTGGTGGGCGATCATGTCGGTTCAGGTCTGCACGGAGTCTACTCTGGCAAGCGATGGATTCAGCCCGACGAGTTCTGGTCTCGGAGTGTACACGAGTGGATCCTGCTCGTCCTCAGTCACAGGAATCGTCTGTCGCCACTCCCTGCGCTCTGCCCGCAGTGCCTTCCGAGGACGACGCGAACTCGCGCCAATAGGAAACAGGCGGAGGAAACATTGGGCCGATTTCAGTGTGTAGCACCTGCCGAGCAACGGCTCACGCTTCAGGGTTCAGTGGGAACGGCCACACAATGCGGCAACCTCCCACCTTGGGCTTCAAGCCAGACTCCAAGAGCCGGCGAAGAAGCTCGTCGTGAGGCATGCTGTCGACATCGATCTTGAGGAGGTCTACCTTGCACAGCACGCGACTATATACTGCTCCCACACCTCATGCGAGATGAGCAGTATGCTAGCACACGTTGCTTCCGGCACCTCTCGCACCGGAAGATTCCTCAAGACGACGTCCGCCACGGTGAGCGGCGTGACTGCTATCGCGCGGACTCCTGGTTCCGTCCCGCGGTCAAAAGCACTCAACTTCGACTTGGTAACTTGGGAAGCTGAAGGCTGACGAGTCTCGGACATCGTTCAGCAGGTGTTCGTCATGAAGCCTGCCGGGCCGGGATCACTGTTTCAGCAAACATCTTCGAACCATCCCATGGCCCACAGATGCCCACGGCCTGGCATGCATGACTTCTGCCATCGAGGCATTGCCCTCAAGAAGCAAGCCATGGAAGTGCTGCTCTTCGACAAGGCAATTCGCCGGATCGTAGCATTCCTTCAGGAGAATCAGCATAACCCTTCCCCAAACTTCAGGACATGACTAACCTGTCACTCTGCCGCCACGGATCTGTGCCACGACCACACTTCCCGTCATATGCACCGAGATTGACAACCCAGCGTGATAGCTCTTGGTTGCTTCTCCACCTGTCAGGGAGCTACCCGACTCTCTCGATCCTTCCCGCATTCAACACCGCACGTGTCGAGCTGCTTCGTGCGGTATTCCTTCACTCTCGTCCTCTGCTCTTGGCTTAAGCTTAGCAGCCAAGCATACTAAGGACTCGGACTTCCCAGGTTGAGGCTTGGAACTCTTCGCATGCTACCCCCCACGCCTGATGCGCTTCAGGATGGATTCCATGGAGAGCTGCGGCACCCTCAATCCTGAATCAACATTGTCACGTGCTGTCACTATGCCAGCCGTTCCTTCTTCCCTTGTGGGCAAAGCACTCGAACTACTTGGCCATGATGCGACACCTCCTACAGTCGTCGGCAATCCGAGCTGTGACAAAGCACGAGGGCTGACAGAAGATCCCCTACGCTTTGGCAACACAAGTTAACACAAGGGTGTCGTTTACTTCTGGCGGGGCACCCCCCGACTTCTTGCCGTACGTAGAAGCTGGGCGTGATGCCCACCGAGGATGACCACAGCACCCAACACAGCCAGCAAGCACTCAACACAGTTTGCAGCTTCTGCCTCGAAAATCGATATTTGCCGGACCTTGGAGTCCTGCATTCGTCAGTGCGCCCAGCGAAAGCCTAGGGATTCTTTCATCGAGACCAAGAACAACCCGCCAAATTCAGGAAGGGTGCATTTGTGGATCGCAAATCTGCGATGGAGACAGTTCGCGTGGAAGAAACACAGGCAACCTTAGCTCACTCCCGTAGGCTTACCGGCTGCGTCGAACTAGCACGTCTCCATATGGACTAACATGAAGAATGAACTCCAGCGGTATGTTTCAGTGCTTCAGGTTGCAGTACGGTCGCAGGCGAAGCAGGAGGTAAGGGCAGGAACACCGCATCCCGCACCGCATCGACAATCCGCTCAAGAGCCTCACATTTAGAGGATATATCCCAGTGCCACAGGGAATGCAACTGGATCTTGCCTCCGGAACCAGCATGGCCGTACAAAGCGACCTTTACAACAGGAAAAATGTGACCAAGAAGAGTCTGCTCTCTGCCCTGCTTTCGATGCCAGCGACCAGGAGCTACGACCGCTCGATTCATCTTGCTTGTGATTGGCTTGGGCCACCACTCATGGCCACTCCGCTCTTCCACTTGCATTTCTACAAGCGCCGCATCGGCGACGGAACAAAAGCTCCTCGGCTGGAAGTCGTTCTGGACAGTTCAGCCCTGTGAAGCGATGATGATTCATGGTGATTCATGCCGGTGGACCTGGCTCACGATCTGACGCTCTCGTAACGTGGCCGAAGGACAGTACATAGTCCGCCGGCACCACGTCAGGCGCGTAACAGTCCTTCGAATCTCCGGCTCGCTTTGATTTTGGTGAGTGGATACTACAATGACCTGAAATTCGGCTGCACACAGACCGTAGCGAAGAGCGTGCAGCGCTGTCAGCGCGGTTTTTGCACGAGAGGCTGCCACCTAGCAGTGAGTTTATTTGGCATTCTACGGGGAAGTGACCCTTTTGGTGGTGAAGCTGTATTCATACTACATCGAGATCTAGCTCTACAGCCTATAGATGTACATATTTACATCACATCCTCATCTATATCCATGTTTACTTTCATGATTTCCATGACGTAGCAAGTTGCAGACACGTTCAGATTTACGTGCATATTCAGACTCATACTTTCTTCTACGGTTCTAGTTGCTCTAGTTACCTCTGTTCATTGCATATCTGCCAGTATCCACGTGTACGGCCGCGCACCGGTACATACGTAGATAATTGGATAGATAGGTAGACAGCTTCCAGAGATAGTTAGATTCAGTAGATACTCAAATACATAGACTAGATCGTTAGATAGGTAGATAGATAGACAGATAGATAACAAGATACAGAATTACATGGTTTAGATGGGCGGCAGGTTGGATAGTAGTTCGATAGCTACAGCTACATACTTCAGCAGATAGATACTTAGATAGTTCTTTGCCACCCGCCAAGCAAATAGTTAGGTGGCTAGATTGCTGCTGCTACATTGTTAGATCGTTAGATCGTCAGTTAGCTAGATAGTTAGACAACTAGACACTTCGGTAGTTACAGTAGTTGGATAAATGGATATATGCATGAAACAACAGATATGCAAATTGATAGCAGCAGACAGACAAGCAGACAGACGCTTAGATGGGTGCATGGATTGACAGTCCACACCACAGGTCAGAGAGAGGGAGAGGGAGACGAGAGAGGAAATAGAAAGTACGTGGTTCATGTTGTACGCATGTACCTGTTGATTTGCAACGTCTCCACGTGTTTCACAGCATCTTTTATTCCAACAACTATGCCAGTACTTGGCTATAAGTTACAAGCTTACTATCTGTTTTTTTCTTGTTTGCCTGCTTAATGTATAGAGATCGGGCCTCTGTGAGCGTCTGACGGAGAAGGCCCAGAACCTCTTCGGCTTGAAGAGACTGCACGATCCCAGTACACTCCCAGCACATGTGCCATCTCAAAACTGTGTGGCAGAAGCCTCCCTGATGCCAAATCCATGCCACCTACCATTACATTACTCCATGGCACTCAATGCAATTGTCGAACCTCGTCGACCGCCGCATCGATGACCTGCTCCCTCAGTGCCTCGGCCGTGCGAAATGCGCCGTTGTTGAACTGCTGGTAGTACAGCTCCTCCGGCATGTTCCGGTGGTGCAACAGTTGCAACGCATCATGGCTGTGGCTTCGTCAGGTTTCTTCTGCATGCCACTCATCGAGCTGTCGGACCTCTGACATGTAGTCGTGCTTGGACTTTCGGACTCCCTCTGCTTCGGAGAGCATGCGGGGCCCACGACAGTTGCAGCGCGAACGTGTTGCTGCACTGGTCTAGGTTTCATTTGCACTGCCTCCACGAGCACACGAAGCGCACTCGAGGATCGACATCTCTCGTTTTAATGTTTCTTTGTGTGGGCGACCTCTCTCCTTCCATCCCGACAATCCTGCCCAGGTTTGCCACAGTCCTTTCCGGCACCTGTAGGTCAGACCTTGGCCCGTTCCCTGTGCAATGCCGGTAGCTTCTTAAGCCTATGTCGGCTGTCGTGCTTGTACTCCAACCTGTCTTTCAGCTCCATCTACAGAAACGGATAGCTTCGTGCAGCTTCCGTTTTCCCCAACACCGAGACATGAACGAGAATCCAGATCCTTGAGTTCTCCTTGCGTCTTATGCACGGCTTGACTGCCCTTCCTTGAAACTTTGCATCGGATGGCCTGCTCTTGCGGGAGGACGTACGTGCGGACCCACTTGATGCCATAGTTGTGCTGGCACCTTCGACCATGCGGAAGGTTGCATCAATCTCTTGCAATCGTCTCGCAGGCCTCTCAGAAACTGGTACTGGTGGGCAGAACAGACCCCCTGCTGCCAGCGCCAGAGCGGAGAAGGACATCCAAGATAAAAGCTCACGTTAAGGGCGAAGTTGTGCTAAGACCGTTGAGACAATACGAAAATCTTTCTTGTAAACGGAAGCTGGCTGCTGCTTGTGGTATTGCAATGGTGTGTCCGCCTGTACTGCTGCTGAGGAGAAGACATCGCTTCGGCATTGGCAAACAAGCACATAGGCAACCGCACCACCCTTGCCCCGTGCACGGGCTATCCTGACCTGCCGTCCACGCAAACGTCGCAGGTTTGCGTTGCACACGGCGCGATCTCACCCTTGTCCTGCAAACGATCACTTTGCACGGTGCACGAGTGCCCGAGGGTGACACAGACTGATCTGAGAACGCCTTGGGCTCGCAGAGCTTGCCTCCATGCCGAGGCCTGCTGCAAGAATCAGTGCACCAGCAGCACCAGCCGGGTGGCTCTCTGCAGTTGGACAAAGCCCCGAACGATTGCTGAATGACTCGATTCCGTCGCTTGGTACCGCCCCCGCAGGTGCAGCTGCAGGCCTGAGCAAAACTCTGTTCAGCCTGCATATGATCCAGTCATTGAGTTCGTGCCGACTCGTCTGAAAGCTTGGTGGCTGACACTCCAGTGATCCCAGTCGGCCCATACCTGCCATCTCGACCATCTTGGCTCAACGCACCGCAGGCAACTCGAGCATCTGTAGACTCTCATCTTGTTGTCAAGAAGAGAACCTAGCTTACCCATGCAAGCAACTGTTAGATCGCAAATTGTTTGAGAGCCATGGAGAACCGCGACTCTCAAAACTTGGCCAGTCTGCGCAGTCCACCGCAATGCACTCTTGGATATGGCAAGGCCTTACCTGGACAAACAAAGTCGCAAAGCTAAGACTCAGCGAGTAGTCAGATGTGTCATTGGATGGAACCTCCTCCAGCGCTTCACTGCAGACCGAGTGGTATGACGTCGAGACCACCTGGCGGGGGGGCATCCCTGCAGCAAGCTCGTTTCCTCTTCGTATCGCTGGGCCTCGCGGCTTCGCGAATGGATCCCATCACCTGATTGTAAGGGAAAGTCGGTCAAGCTGAACGGCACCAGCTCCCTGCCAGGGCCCTAGCCACACGGCTGGCTACACTGCGACCTGCAGCTGCAACACACCATCAGTCCTGGAACAACTGAAATTTCAGGTCTGCGCCAAGTGGTCCAGGAGGACAGCGTGCAGGTTTCCTGCTCACACTGTTGGACCTGGAGAGCAGGGAGCACGGATGCACACATGCCAAGGTAGGGAACGAGGTGTGACCGTGCTCTGTGCATACTTACGTTGCTGACTGGCAACATGGCTCACCTGCCGTTGGCTTGTTACACCGTGTGGTCAAGGGCTGTTTCTGGTGATGTGAGAGAGACCTGTATGGAGCTGAGCACGCTAAACTCGAATGTTTCCAACTGTCACACGACCCGGCACTCCCAGCACTTGTTCTTCATGAGAAAGACGCGAGGGGTGCACAGCGTTTCAGAAACCCTTGCCAGTGCCTTGTTGCAACCACCCCACCGAAAAACAAAGCAAAAAAACCTACATTGCACAGAGGGGACTACACAGTCAACTAACAGAGGTGTCATATATTTGCCTCTCTCTAATTAATCTAAACCCACCTGAATCACATCTAAATGGCAATATGCAGAACATATACACACACATACATATATACTATATACACGCAAACACATGTACACGTATACACATACATACATTTTGGCACTGACACTCGAGGAACTCGGGCGAGGATTCGAGCCAAGTGACCATTTACGTACATATGTATACATACACTGACATATACACAATGAATAGCTACACGCATCGTCATGGCATAGTCACAATACATACCCGGTGCGGGCAGGCGGAATGCGGGAGGCCAGCCCACACCAACATGGGAGGCCGGCTCCAGCCAGCATGGAAGCACTCAGACAGTGTGGGCAGGCGGCAAACACCAACATGGAAGCATTGCATACAGACACACGTGCAGGTATATGTACCTTTACATGTACACGGGCACGTATTTGTGCGGAGTGCTTCCAGTTTTGCGCAAAACGTCTGCCCACAAAGGTTGAACTCTCGCATGTTGGTGTCGCTTCCAAGCTGGTGTGGGCAGCTTGCCCGCACCGGCTGCATTCTGCCATGAAGGCTGGGTGGAGTGCTTGCATGCTGTTGCGGGCCTCCTGCCCGCACCAGTGAAATCCGTCCGTACTGGTGAGGGCTTCGTGCGCATGTTGGTGGAGTGCTCGCTTGTTGCTGCGGGCTGTCTGCCCACACCGGCTGAATGCTGCGCTGCTGGTGTGGCCACCCGTACCCGCTGAGTGCCTCCGTGCTGGCAGCTTTCTCTGTTAACCCCTGCCTGGTTTCTTTCTGCGCATGGCCTCCAGTGTCTTGTCAATCCTCCAGCTGCTCGCTCAGTTGGCAGGAAACCTTGCAAACTGAAGACGATACTCTCATCCAACCGCGTCTTACGTCCATGGTGGGCGTTGTCTGTCTCTTGCGTTTTCTGGCTTCGATTGAAGTTTGAGCCATCTCCACACTTCTGCAACACTTCTACGAAAAAAGCCATCCCATGATAGCCTGCCAGGTGCTACTCAGCATGCATACAAATGCGAGTATGCATCTGCCGGGGCTGCAACACAAGCTATAAATCTTGCCTGGGTTGAGCGATAGGAACATCTATTGTGTGCATGTTTTTTGCTTCGCATGAACATGTCTGCAAACTACGTTGCTCGTCTTCCCAGATTTACTACCCTTCTGCTGCAAGCCGTTTCTGTTTCTATCGACTTGCATCGCAAACACTCTCTCCCAAGGACTTCTTGACACTTCAGGAGATTTCTGAAGGTCGTCAGATTCGACATCATTGAATCATCAGAACACTTCTTTTCTGCGTTCTTCCCTCCGAGCCGAAAGATGCCGAGCGCCGGTGTGGCCCGGCATCTTCAACGCTGTTGTGACTTTGCCACTTCACTTTCTTGCTTTGAGGCGGTTTTCGCAAAATTGCACCATGCTAAGTCTCGAAAGGCCGTCTGCATCCACCTGATGTCTGGTCTTGGCTGCACGCTCCACAGGCACGCACTTCATGAACCGTCTGGCCTGGCCGATCCTACGTTGTAGAACACTCCAAGAACAAACTCACAAGAGCCGTGCAAGGCCTTCTGGAACTGCCATAAAGCAACTCGTCTGGTCAGAGGGCAGCTGGCGCGTCCTGGATGTTCATATCTTGGGCTCCATCTCACTACATGACAAACGCTCGGGACGCCGGGAATTCCTAAACCCTACAGTTTGTTACACAGGCTCAAAGCGTGCATGCGGACGCTGTTGAAGGCCACGTTCGTCCTCATTCTCGCGAAAAAAAGTACGAATATAAGGAGACTCTTGCTAAGTCATGGGCGACGCGATGCCGAAGGACACACAACCATGCAACAGACGTGCGCTCGAAGATGTATTTCTATTGGAAGGTTCGGTCTGTGGCATCAGTTGTCGCAGATCAACCCCGGCCCGCCTTTGGGACTGACCAGCACAACTTGCACTGCATTGCGACCACTCCGACCTGCAGTGCATGGGCTGACTGTCTCCCTGCAGCTTCTGCCTTTCTCGAAACCTGGGCATCTACGGGCTGAGGCTGGCAAGTCATGAAATCGATGCTTTGAGGTGGTTCTTCAAGAGCACGAGCAAATCGGAGCAATGAAGCCCTTTAGGAGCTGCACCAACCGGCCAGAATGCATTCCTGCGGCTCCTGTTGCGGTAATGTGTCGAGTCGGGCCACAGCACATATCAGCCGCAGCATAGCTGACACGAACCTGATCATTCATCGGGCAGCCACGAGTCTCCCGCAGGATCTGGTTGCCTTGGCGATGCGGCTGGCATGCAGAGAACAAGGGCATTTCCTTTTTGCCTGCCGCTACGCATCCATGCATGTGGCACCACCACCGATTTCGTTTCGGAAATGCTCATTGCAACGCACACGCAGCGTGCACATGTCACATCCACCACCGTGCATACATCACCTGCGAGATCGTCTCAAAGAACCTCGGAGACGGACAGAGCGCTATGAAAGGGTGCCATGTGCGAACACGATACTATACGTCAGACATACCCGATGAACCCATTCAAACTCACCTCTCCACAACCGCCTTGCCGCCTTGCCGTGTCTTAACGCTCCATTGGGCCGCCGTGCAGGGCACCGACCGCGAAGCTGGCTGAAGGAGGACACGGCCTTGTCGGAACTCTCGCGAGATCTCGCATTACAGCAGTTTCTGAACAGCGACTAGGTTTGCGCGTGCTGAGAACGTGGCTTCGATATTCCTGCCAGTCGAACCGAAAACACGAGCACATGGCTTACACTTTCAGGCTACAGTGCGGCTACATGCTCATGTTTGCAAGAAAAAGGGATGGTCATGCCCAAGGACTCAAGCAGCAGTCCTGTGCCGGTGACAAGATGTCGCAACCTTGCCACGCCTTCGGTAGCCCCAGCATGCCAGTCCCCACACTCCAAAAAAAAGCAATGCCTCCCGTTTGATTAAGAGCCGCACCCCCCATTCACTGAGGACACAGCTTTGACCTTGCTTCGCAGGGCAGGGACTGCCGATGCGAGAAGGCACTGGCCTACGTGCAGCACGCGATCCCAGACCCCCGCTGCCGCAGGGCTCGAGGTTGCACTGCTGCTGCTCGCCTCAGTTGAGCACCACCTGGACTTCTAGAAGGAAGTCATGAAATTCAGCAGCTGGGTCAGAAACGAAGGGTCTGCATGTCGCAAGTGGCACCGCCATTGGCGGCGAACTGCCGTACCCGGCGCAAGCGTGCCTTCGAGGCGAGGCAAAAAAAATCGTGGTGCTGAAGGATCCTACTAAGCCTGCAAAGGTAACATATGCCTGCAGCACAAGTTCTTTCGGTTGGAGCCAGGGGAACCACCACGAGAACCTCTAGCCTTGGACTCAGACCGCTTCGTAGTTCGTCGTGTAACGGACGACAAAGCAAAAACTGTTGACCAAAGGACGGACAGACTCCAAGCCGAGAGCTATGAAGAAAGCTAGACCCAAAGGCTCGTTCAGGCATTCCTGTACACAAAGCCTGCCAGCCCCCATCGCAGCTCCGGCTGCACTGTGTCCTGGCACCGGAGATGCCCGTGGAGTGAACTCAGGCAGTGGCACATGCTTTGGAACCACCGAGCGAGGAGTGTGCGAGCGGTCCATTCTTGCCACTGGGTCAATCTACAGTCTTGGGCTTCGTAGCTCTCCGCCTCGGCTGAGGGCATCTTGCAGGAAAGCCGGGAAAGAGGTGAGGCCACGACCACACAGGGCTCCGTCTGATTGTAGGGTCCAGAACCTGAGTGCAGTCGCCCTGCAGGAGCACTTCGCACGCAGCTTCTGGATTTGTTCCTGAAGGCAACCGGACCATTCAGCAAACCCGGGGGAGACACACTGCTCGCCGTTGTGAAGAGCTTGCACTTGCACCTGTCGGCATTTCTGCACTGAGTATGAGATTGAGGCCACAAGAGCCGATGACTGAGATCGAAGCATGACGAGTTCGATAGCGCTGGTTTTGGCGCAACCTGGAGCCACGCCAAACGAGTCAATCTCCGAGCCATCCCCACGTCCCAGGTGCCCGACGATGCGCCATGCACACTGAAGCAGGAGCTAGACCAGGAACTCCAGGCCTTGCGAAAAAACAACAAAATTCTGAAAATGGATATTGAAAATAAGTTGCAAAAGGCACAAAAGCATACTAACAAAGCAAGCCTCTCAGACTCTAAAGCTTAAGGCCGACACAGTCCATTGGCAGTCGCGATTCTCCAAGACGCACTCGTCGTAATTGGGATAGCACTCTCTCCTCCAACATTCGGTTTGGGACCATCTGACCAGTCTTGGACGTCTTGGCCTTGGCCGCCCGTCCTGCTAATTGTTTGCAGAAGTGATCCACTACAGGGCTGTCCACACCTCGAACGAGCTGCCGAAAGACGCGAAAAACATCCAACTGCAACACTCACAGTCTGTGCTAGAAAGAACTGTTCGGCCGTCTGGTGCAGAGGGTGACTATCACCTTCCCGGGTTCTGGGCTCGTTGTTGGTCTGCGCTTTCATACCTTCACTTGCCGAAGGGAAGGTTCTGCACTCATGAAATGGCGGGAAGCGACACTAAGCACGTGATTCACGTGATCAGAAGGCACGCCTAACACATAAAACGCGACACACAACAGGTGTCCACATGCACGAATCATTGCATCGGAGCGGCGCTTCCGCTGGCACAAGCCTGTGCATCCACCGAGCCTGTGTGGCGTCGTTGGAAAGGGTGTGGACTTCGGACTTCATTGCGTTGGACGGCTCAGCGTGCTGCGGAAACCAGTCCATCCATGCACCGAAGATGCAGTCCTGGCTCAATTCTGCTACGGTGTATTGCACAAAAGCTGAAAACCTTGCGGGCTCGAAGCTTTCTTGACACACGCGACTCTGACAGGCCTGTGGCGTGCAGGATGCGGCACAACCTTAGGTGCAAAACATCATGCATTGAGCCTCCAAACACCTGATGTCAAGACATTTATCAGCAGGGGCTGCTGAGGTCGAAAGTACTTCGGAAGCCAAGCAGGCTTTACAGGCTTGGCAAAAGTAAGTGCCTGTCCTGGGAGGTCATCGCAGACGGCCCACTCCTGCAAGCAAGTACGACACGTGAACCAGACGAGGTTCTCCAACATGAAATTAGAGCCACAGTTTGCCACGAAGCGGCACTGTGTCACTGAAGTACTCATGGGCTGGGTGAACAAAGCTTGAAAGCTTTGTGTCCAATTGTTGCTGCTACAGGTCCTCTTCGCGTCCTCTGCACTTGCCGGCATTTGAGAAGGCCTGGGGAAGTCCGCTGAGCCGTATGCTTCACCTTGAGCTTTTTCGCCAAACTTGCCACTGGGGCTTGTGCCGGAGAGTCGGGCATGTCAGATGCCGATGCAATCGACCCTGTGGGTTGAAGACCTGCGCAAAGGCACAAACAGCAGGAAAAGAGTCTAAGGGCGCTGAGGCAGCGCAAGTCCGTCTGAGGGCCCAGCCAGAGAGGTGCGATCCCATGGAGCTTGAGGACCCTCCTGGATTCCAAGCTCGCATGCTTGCCACCGCACTTTGAAAAGCACACAACTTCTGCCGCACGCACACTCCTCCCAAGGAGACGGAGCCACTCGAGGCACCTCGTAAGCACAGCGGCTTATCAGCAGGACTTCTTCCCAACATCAACAGCCAAAGCCGCGTGATGCAACTCCAGTGCCGGGGAACTCCTAGACAAATTCTTTAGACTTTCGACGGTAGCCATTCGTCTAGCGCGCAGCGGTCGCACACACTCAGGATCAGGTTCCTCCGAAAAAGCGACTAAAAGCCGTCGGGAGCCAAGCGACCTCCCAATGAGGCCGTCGAGTCTGAAGATCCTGCAGACCACAGGCAGGCCGACACCCATGCAAGACCAGCCTAGAACATCAGCCCCAGCCTCCGCCAAACATCCCCGAGGCTCCTGCTACATTCTTTGGAATGTGCAGTGCAAAAACGACCGGCGACCGGTCATCGGCGCACATTAGGAAACCCTCCAGGCGCCCAGCCGCTCGCTGAGTGCGAGGCCGTTGAGGAGGCGCCTCCTGCAAGCGATCTCTGATCCGCGACCAGTACCACGTCATGTTCAGAAAGCAGGGAACATCAACAAACTAGCTACAAGGGGTAGCCTTATCGGGGCGCGTGAAGTCGCGACACCGCATGGTCACGCTGGAACACAAGCATGCTGCACATCGCTTTCCGCATGGCCACGCGCGTTTTTGCACATTCCTGGCGCAGACTTCAATTTAGGATTTCGAGTGCCGCATGCAGGCTTTCTGTGGAAATTATGTCCCGGAGCCCTGATAAGTCTGCCAGTTTGGCAGCTAATCACCGTATGCACGCGCTTTCAGGCATGTAACAAGCGCCCGCTCAAGACACACATCATTGGCATCATAGCCCACGAAGACTTGAAGAAAACCAGCCGTTCCCCATGTAGACGCTCCTTTTCAGAGGCACCCGCTCAAGATAAACAGCGGTTCACAGCACTTCAAAACCACACAGTCCCCAACTACACGCTCGGTTTCCGAAGCACCCGCTCAAGACACACATCATTGGCATCACAGCGCACGACAACCAGCCATTCCCCATGTACACGCTCGATTTCACAAGCGCGCTGGCACGAGGGATCACCCGCTCCCTCTCCGGTCTCAAGTTTTACATCAGGTTGAACGATACCCGGTGGTTTCAATATTGGGGTGAACGATACCCTCCGGTGTGACATCATGGCCCTCCCAAAACAAATCCGCCCACCTTCTACGTGGGTGTGTTCAGCGGCGATCAGGCTGACCGAGACCCCCTGTGCATACTAAGCTTGTTTTAGTAGCAAGTAGTGTAACCCTGTTTTCCCCGAAGGTGCCACGACCTGGTCGGCAAAGCCCTTGCGTTTGGTCTGCTCCGCTCTGCAAGTACATGCGGCCGCCGAAACGGTTCCAAAACACACATTCCAGACAGCGCGTTTGACAGTTTTGCAAGTACACGCCGTCGCAGAAGGTGTTACAATAGCAATGGCAGGCGATTTGTCCGTTCCGCAAGTGGACGCCGCCCCAAGATGTTTACAAAACACACATAGTCTGGACAGTCTAGCCCACCAATCTTTAAAGTTCGAACGTTAGACATCTTAATCCCCGTTTACGCTCTCGCAACTCGGACAAGCCTGCCGAGGTCTCTGGTGCGGGGATTTAGACGCAAGGGGAGAAGCCTAGCTACGAGATCACGAAGAAGCGCTAAAAACCCATCTAAAACAACCACCACCAAAACTTCATGACTTCTTACGAACATTAACTCGATAGGGCTAGGATATCCATATCCCCATGTCCACACAGAAAAGGGATGACTTCACGCAAGTCGGGACGACTCAACGCAACCACCCAGTAGCCGTTTGAGGGCCCAGCCAGAGAGGTGCGATCCCATGGAGCTTGAGGACCCTCCTGGATTCCAAGCTCGCATGCTTGCCACCGCACTTTGAAAAGCGCACAACTTCTGCCGCACGCACACTCCTCCCAAGGAGACGGAGCCACTCGAGGCACCTCGTAAGCACAGCGGCTTATCAGCAGGACTTCTTCCCAACATCAACAGCCAAAGCCGCGTGATGCAACTCCAGTGCCGGGGAACTCCTAGACAAATTCTTTAGACTTTCGACTTTAGCCATTCGTCTAGCGCGCAACGGTCGCACACACTCAGGATCAGGTTCCTCCGAAAAAAGCGACTAAGAGCCGTCGGGAGCCAAGCGACCTCCCAATGAAGCCGTCGAGTCTGAAGATCCTGCAGACCACAAGCAGGCCGACACCCATGCAAGACCAGCCTGGAACATCAGCCCCAGCCTCCGCCAAACATCCCCGAGGCTCCTGCTACATTCTTTGGAATGTGCAGTGCAAAAACGACCGGCGACCGGTCATCGGCGCACATTAGGAAACCCTCCAGGCGCCCAGCCGCTCGCTAAATGCGAGGCCGTTGAGGAGGCGCCTCCTGCAAGCGATCTCTGATCCGCTTCCAGTACAACGTCATGCTCAGAAAGCGGGGAACATCAACAAACAGGCTAGCCGTTTGAGGGCCCAGCCAGAGAGGTGCGATCCCATGGAGCTTGAGGACCCTCCTGGATTCCAAGCTCGCATGCTTGCCACCGCACTTTGAAAAGCGCACAACTTCTACCGCACGCGCACTCCTCCCAATGAGACGGAGCCACTCGAGGCACCTCGTAAGCACAGCGGCTTATCAGCAGGACTTCTTCCCAACATCAACAGCCAAAGCCGCGTGATGCAACTCCAGTGCCGGGGAACTCCTAGACAAATTCTTTAGACTTTCGACTATGTCAGATATCCGCATGAAAATGGCACACCAAAAGACCATGCTCGCAAGCTCTCTTTTGCATGGTGGATTGGTGTGGCTGCCGACTCCCGGGATGTTCCTTCGGTCGAAGACCTCAGACAAGAATGAGGCCGTTCCGAAACAAAGGAGGGTCCCCTCCTTCAGGGCCTACGGCACCTGTGGATCGGGAACCCTCCTTGTACAGAAAAGAGTTCCAAAATTTTGTGCCGTCCAGAAAGAAGCCTGTACAGGAGGCAGCCACATCCTCACCGGGCGCCCTGCGCGGGCCCATGGGTGAGGTCAGAAGGATCGTCGAAAATACGATCTTCCAGAATAGAGCGGATGAGGGAAAAATGCTCGAGCACGGGTTCCACCGGCAAGCAGAGAGATGGAGTGAAACCTTGAAAGTTGGGATGAGTCAGATCATCAGCCCAAGTGTTGAAGTCACGCTTGACGTGGGAGGGAGCGAGCTGCATACCATGCCGGTGCAGCTGGTACAGTATCTCCATGAGGATGACCGACGTTGGCATCCTCTTGGACTTATCGTTCAGGAGCGAGTACACATTCCCTTGGTTGTCGCTGACCAGGGGGAGCCTGAGGTTCGGTATGAACGCAGGCGCCTTCTCCATGAGAAAGTGAGAAAGGATCAGTGTGCCAAACATCTCGAGGGCAGCAATGCGCTTTTTCGGGCAGCCCTTGTCAAATGCCCATGGATGCCGCTCTGCAGTGACCTGGTAGTGGAACCAGAACACTTCCGACTTGGACGGGGAGTCCGCGTTAGAAAGCCAGCCGCCCACATAGGCGCTGCCATCATCTGAGGCGCTAGCATCACTTGCCCCCGACCAAATGGCAAGCGGGGCATACGGCGATGCTTGTCTGAACTTCTGGTCAAAAAGAGAGAGGAGCAGAGCTGAGAGTGCACGGATAAGCTTACCCGGACGTCCTGCGGTCAGGCAGGCCTTCTTCCAAGCCCAAAAGGGTTGGAGGAAAGGTTTGGTGAGGGGGCAGGCCGTTGTCGCCCACTGCAGCCTACCCAGAGCGCTAGCGATCTGAGAAGCCGACATGACTTTACCGCTTTTAAGCTCTTCAAGAATGCCGATGACAAGCAGGTGCTTGTCTCGGGCCATCTGCACACAGGGTCCTTTTGGGTCAATGACAAAGCCAAGCCACGTATTAACCTCAGCAAGTAGGGTTTTCTTCCAGCTCAGAGGAGTGCCGAGAGCAAGCAACAGCAAGCAAATCGCTGTTGCCAGTAGAGGGGAATTCGATTTACGGAGTAGCCAGGCAAAGTCGTCGACGAAGACAAAACCCCAGTCGACCTCGGGAAACACGGCATACACAATCCTAAGAAGGATGGCAGCCATCCTTCCCCAGTAGAGCTGGGCACTGGCCATTCCATAGGTGCCTACGGTGTTAACCCACCATTCCTCACCAAGCTGGGCAACTTGGTAACGCCACTCTCGTAGGAGAATCTTGATTCTCCTGTGCGCCTTAGTAACATCAGCTTTGAGCAAGATCCAGTCCTCGTCAGAGCCCGGGAAGCTCCAGGGTCGGCCGGAGCCGGCACTGGAGTCTGCGTTGCCCGAGGGGCCGTCCTGTTCTCGGCTTGTCGCCCCTGGGGCAGTAGCCAGGGTTGCATGCTCCTCAGGATCAGGGCCATGGGCACCTGGTTTCCCACGAGAGCGAGATGCCCGAAGCCAGTGCAGGCATTGGACGCAGTCCATGACCGTCGGGGCCGTGGTTTTCTCTACGGTATTCTGCTGTATACGGAGATTGGCACCACCCTTAGACCCGTCGAAGATGGAACGGATCTTGTCCGACTCATCAATCCCTGCCATGGGGCAGGGGCAGAGCTCGTCCTCTGCACATTGGCAGTGCGCCGCTGCCTCGGCGCGGGTGCACGGTCCAATGACCATGCCCAAGGGGGTTTCCTCAACAAAGGTGGCCCGAATCTCCTCCCTAAATGTGTCCGCGGAGGAGTAATTGGCATGGCCAGTGGGGGGTGGAGCTTCCACCGGGTCCCACTCTTCACCAATGAGTTCCGACTTCAAGGGCCAGACGCCCGGAGATTGGAGAGTAGGGGTATCCACTCCAAGAGGGACTCCTTCTTTTAGTATCTGCGGATACTCAGCATCGACATCTTGGATGTCACACAGGAGCCTCCTGATCACGTCCAAGTGAAAGGGCTGTCCAGCATCCGGTT